TCTTGGAAGAGAGACGAAACGTTTCATTAAAGAAGAACCCGTCCAGAGGACCTATACAATTTTTTTTTTCCTTTCATCCTTGTATTAATTGACTGCTTTTGGGCTTTTACGCATGCAGTTTCCCAGTCCGCTACCTGTATCTCTTCTCGGATGTCAGATCTCCTTGCATCCAATCTATCTGCAGTGGTTTCCTCATCATGCACGAGTAAAGCTGCATAAAATAAAGAAATGTGACCTCTCCTCTCTAAATTTTCTAGTATAATGTTCTCTAGGTATGACAATGGTGGTTTGGATTCAATCTGTTTGTGTTTTGACATAATAAAATGTTTAATTTGTAAATACTTATAAAAGTGTGTCTTTGAAATGTTATATATTTGACATAACTGCTCAAATGTAAGAAGCCTGTCATCCTTRTAAAGATCTGCCAGTTTCTGTACAACTTTATTTGACCAGATTTTGAAAACTCCATCAGCTCTTCCTGCCTTAAAATATTTGTTCCCCCAGATAGGTGAGAAAGAAGAAATGGAAGGGGTATCTCCAATTTATTGATGGGTTCTATACCAAACATCAATTGTGTTTTTTAAAAAGGGATTTTTTGTAATTTTATCAATTGTTTTGGCCTTGCAGAATACAAATACAGATTTAATCTAAGGTTTGTTACTAATTGTTCAATTCTTATCCATGCTGGGGGCGTTTCGGTTGAAAAGCAGAACATGGCTGAACACAGCTGGGCAGACCAATAATACAATTTAAGATTAGGGAGTTGTAACCCCCCTCTCTCATATGACAGGTACAACAGGCGAAGTCTTAATCTAGGTTTTTTATTATTCCAAATAAATCTGTTAAAAATACAGTTTAATCCATCAAAAAATTGTTTTGGAATAGGCAAAGGGTTTGACTGAAAAAGATACAAAAATTTTGGTAATATATTCATTTTGATCATGTTTATTCTGCCAATCACTGATATGGGCATTTTCATCCATTTATTTAGTGACTCATTTACTTCACTGACCAGAGGATCATAGTTTGTTGATACAATTGTTTTAATGTCTGGAGTGATTTTAACACCAAGGTACACAAATCCCTCTCTTACATTGATAAATGGGGTTTGTATAACCGGGTTTAATCTTTCATCCCTGTTCAAAAATAGAATAGAGGACTTTGAATCATTTATTTTGTAGCCAGAAAACTGACTAAACAACTCCATTTGTTGCATTAAATTTGGGATGGTAATGG